GCTCGTCGTTGCCGGAAGTAAAGGAACCCACGAATGTGAAGATAAAGGATGAGTGGATACTCCGCTAGAATATGTTGTAGAAATGGCTGGAGGGGGAACGTATGGTTCCGGACGTGGAGGTGGGTAGGGAGGAGGAGGTGGTGGCACCAAACATGACTGCACAGGAGGGAAAGGTGAAGGTTTCTGATTTGCTCTGAAAGATGGGCCATAATATGCAAAACCAGGAGTGCACGTCACCAGCGAGTAAAGCCTTTCTTCCTCATCAGCTTTTAACTTCTCCTCTCTCGCTATTCTCTCCCTTTCTGCTTGCTCCGCTCTCTGCAAAAAAATGCTCCTCAGGGCCCGAAATGTGGGTACTATAGAACTACTGTCACAGCACAAAACTCTTAAAGCTGAAGACAGAAAGCTAAAACACCAAAGCAAAAATAAGAGGAATATTTTTTTTCTTTTTAAACGTGAAGATGGATACTCAGCAATGCAAAAACTATTCGTACAAATCTTGCTTTTAAAATTACAAACCTTATACACTTCTTTTCTGACAACTGGTCGCACAAAAACCCGATGACCGGCAATAAAATGCTCAGGTATCCGTGTGCAAGCTTTACACACCGCCTCATCATTGAAAATTACATATGCAAAAAACGCCGGCTTCTAGAAGATAAGCTCATTAATTAAAAAAAGTTCCATTAACTTCAAAATTTTGGCTCAAAGAAGAACAGAGAAAATCACAACAATTAATGCAGGTAATCAGTGAACCAAAGAATTTTTCAAACCAAACCTCTCCATCAGCTCCTAATTCGACAGTAACACTGCCAAACTTAGAGAAATACTCCACTATATCAAATTTTCGCAGTCTTTTACCAACGAACGAAAGTAGGAGCTTTTTTGAAGGCAAATTTCGCTCAAATTCATTTCCCTCGCACTAAATGAAAAAATGCAACAGCAACAGCAGCGACAAATGAAGTTAATTTAAGTACTTGTTATCTAACCATCCTCTTATTTATGGCACTGAAAAATTTGACAAGAAATATAAAAAACTTCGGTATTTTTGCTTAAAGAGGCTATCTCTGATAACCACCTACATCATCAAGCAGTCGCAAAGTAACTTTTGTGTTTTTAATGATATGAGGTTGAGTTTCAAAGCACACTCTGCACTGGTGATCCCACATGAAGGTAACAAACCCAAATCCACGACAGAGTCCCGTTTTCTAATAAAAAGAGCCAATTAACGATGTCACTTTAAAGCAGAGAAAAAATACAGTCACGAAAAACCTACACTTTTACTACGTGAACCAAAAATTTACCAGCTAAAATAATTACCAGTTAATTTAGCATAAAATTTCTCTCAGAAAATGAGTTTTACAGCGAAGTTTTCTAATAATCGAAACAAACCTTATTCGTCATTACTACACATTCCTTTAGCGGCCCAAAATTTGCGAAATGGCTATCAAGATCCCTGTTGCTGCATTTTAATGGTAGTCCCTCAACAAGGATCCTCCTGGAGTTTCTGAACGAACGCATCCAACCAGTAACCAGGTAAACTAAAATTGTTTTGTTTTCCTTAAATAAATGTTTATCTTAACAATATACATAAGCCTGTACACTTGGAAACAAAACAAATTTAATATCTCAATATTATTATGTTGACAACTGTACACTACGAGATTATACAACATGTATTTGCCTAATAAAACAGCCAGAATACACAACGAAAATTGCAATTTGTAAGCCACTCCAATCAAGCGAATGCTGACGGTAATGATGTCTTATATTTACATGGGTTAAAACAAGAAATTTAACCAATCTGTGCCTCACCCCTAGAATACAAAAGGTCCTAGAACTAGAATAAAAATTTCAGGTTCATCTGCTACCAAAAAAGTCCACAAAAGTTAAAACCACGCGAAGGAACAGAATGAATTGAAAAGTTTTAGAATAGACTGTTTTTCATACTACTTTCTCCTGCAACATGCATCTCGCAACGTACTGCACATTAAATGCCCATACAATTAAACAAATGAAGAGAAGAAAATAGAGAATCGTTTGTAAATGACTGTAGTTGAGGAAGAATGAAATTCTACTTCCTGAGTGTTAGTTTAAGGTTAATGT